ACTTAAATTCCCTCATGCCTAAACCCTACTGTAAACCCTGAAACCCCAAATCTCTTGACTTTCACCCATCCCCTGCCTGGGTTTGCTTCATCCACAGCCTTGATAGCTGCCTCCAAGACATACGCAGGACCCATCCTCAGGATGAGGGTTCCGCTTTGAGGTTTCGGGTCTAACCGAAGTCCTAAGATCTTATGCGGGTTAGGGTTATATAGGGGAATGGAGAAGAAAATGGAAACTTCCATTTCAGGCTTTGGGTTAGGGGATATGGTCAGTAGGTACGTCAATGATTTTTGTCTGGCTTTGGCTGAGAAAGCAGGCGCTTCAACATCCACGCAGAGTGCAGATCATCGGGTATTGTGCAAAATGGCGGCTTTGGGAACTCTACGCATATATGCGGTCCTAGTAATGGGTCGGGAAGACCCCATTTCAGTCTAGCCTGTGATCATCCATGCAGGGTTGAGGTAGGAAGAGCCCTACCACCCTCCAAAAACTGGGACAGGTCCCAGATCAGTCTTTCAACCTTTTCAAAGGGTTCTGCAACATGCGGCCATTCGAAAAGTAGGAGGCACGCAACATGCTAGCTCGTTTCAGCTGCCCTGCCCGCCCGTTCCCTCTCCCTCCTTCAATGAAGAGGCCATGGACCCGGCGGACCTTGCCGGGTCGCCCTCGCAGACCCCGTAAGAGATGTTCACGAACATGTTTCGAGAATTTCTGGCATGAATTGTGGGTTCTCAAATGTCTTGCTAGAGCTGCAGTGCATGTGCAGGATTCAAACAACAGGCTTGGGAAAATCGAGAGATGCAACAAAGGCTTTTCTCAACAGGAATTGGAGTTTGGGGGGTGTGCATTTCTCAGTAAAAGTGGAGATATACACGAAAAAAACAAATCGATCCTAAATATTCTGGATATGCCTAGCCCCGCGAAATAGAAATGATGCCTAACATTGACCCAGTATACCCAAGTGTTGCTGGGCCAGTGTCTCAGCGATATCCTTGCGCCGCATGGTCTTGTCTGCAGTCGCTCGGTAGGCCTAGCAAAGCACCCTCAAGCCTAGCCAAATTCTGCTTTTGCCTGGAAGGTCAGTAGCCTGTAACACTGAGAGTATTGTCTGCTTTTCCGTAATCTGTTACCACTTTGGAGCTACCCTAAACCCCTAAACCCTAAATCCCCAGTGTTTTGGGTAGCCAGGCCTTCAAGACAGGGTCGCTCTAGGGCTTTGGTTCAATGAACCCCTCCCCCTAATATCAAACCCCCCCACCCTTAAAGGGGTATACGGGTTATTCTTAGGGTTGAGGGTTTAAAGTTCCACCCCCCTTAATATTAAACACTCCCATTATGTGGTATAATGGGAGTATTTAATATTAGGGGGGTGAGGGGGTTCATATAAGGGGGAGGGTATTACAAGATTGATCTGATCTAGACTCCGCTGCCCCGTCTTACTCAACGGTTTTGCTCGGCCCTCAACGTCAACTGGGTCTAATTCTAGCAGATCACCGAGCAGGTCCTAGCAGGGTGAAGGCAATCCAGCATGGCTGGTAAAACTTCACATCAATGGCAACCCTTGTCCGTATGTAGTTTTCAGGGCAAGCCCATGCAGTGAATTCATACTATGCTCTGCCATGACATGTGAAGGTCAAGCCATCAAGGAAACACCCTGAGCAGCTTTGTAGTCAAAAAAATATTCGAGTGGACTATCATGATCTCAGGAAAGAAAAGAAAACAGTCTGCATCTGGGCACTGGGCTCTGTACACAGGAAAGGAAATGGTACCATCATCAGAAAACGTTAAACAGCCCCTAAACCTTGAAGCCCAAAGCCTCAAACCATGGTGGGTGCCTAGTGGGGGTGGTCCAAGGGGGAGAAGTACCTAGGCAACCTTGTAATTAGGGCGGACAGAGGCGTATTGTGGCATGCCATCCCCCTTTTTAAAGGACGGTAGCCAATCTAGGGCGATTTTGGGCATTGCATCTTAGTCTGTCAGTCTGAGGAGGGCATCTGCAAACAACTGCAGGGCGGAGGACCCTAAGTTTGCAAAAAGGAAGGTGATGAGACCTAGTCAATAGTGATTTCATATAACTGGGCATAAAGCCCTACTCATAGTCGCCCGCCCTAAAAGGCCTCATGGGCATCCCATGAATCTTCAAGTAGCCGTCTATCAGTACTCAGCCTCATGATCTTGGGTCTTTGTAATGCTCCTTTGCAAATGCTTACTGGCAATGCAACGATTGTGAGGAGCAATGCTAAGTCCTGTGCCACTAACCCTGCGGCTTGGATCTTGCCTCTGCCCTATGACAGCCGTATAAAGGGCACCGACTAAGGGTATTACCTTGCTACAGTCGCCCTAAACCCTCAATACCCTAAACCTTAAGCCCCTCATCCCTATACAAGCCCCAAGCCCTACCGTAAGCCCGAAACCCCCAACTCTCTGCCTTGTTTCCGCGGATTCCCGCAAGAATGCCCAGGGTCGGCTTCAAAGCCAGATGTATCGAACCCACAGAGGTCCCGTCTGTTTGGGCATCCTGCAAATACCTTGCAGCTGCGCAACCCTAAAACCTACAGACGCAGGGGTGAAGGGTCCCTCTACCTCAACAACCTGTGTGTCTCCATAGTGGGGTATCTATAGGTTTATGTAGGGAATGGAAAAGAAAATGGAAGCTACTGTTTAGATTTTAGGGATTACGGCTTTTCAGGGATATCACACGCATAATGAAAATCAAATGGAAAAGACCATGGAAATCACATGGACATTTCAGGATCACACCGCAGGGAAGATAGGGTATTTTGAGTAGAAAGGTATCTGTCAAGGATCATGTAGACGTCCTTTTGAGAAACCTCAGATTTTGGTTTGGTATGGTTTGGTGATAGGCATACCCATGAGTCTACGGACCGCCTAATGACCAATGGGTACATTCCTCGAGGACCCTGACAGGACACCTCCCCCTTGTTCTTTCCGAAGTAGATGAAGAAATTGCCCAAAAACGCGACAAGTAGCCACAAGACCATTACCCGCATACCTTTTGAGGTTCAGGCACACCCGTAACAGACTAAACTTCAGGGTTCCAGGCATATGCCAAGTTGCTCCTTGTAGCCCTCCAGCAGCTCTCGGCGAGTCATAGGCTTCCGCTTTTCCTCTCCGTACAGACCTTACTTGGAGGGTCAAAGGGGCTGGCAAGTATGTCGGGCGTAGAGTAATGATAGTAATAATCGTAATCATCAGGGCCAGCAACAATATCTGCAATCAGACTTTGCCATGACAAGGTCCTGTGCGTCCAGGCCTCTGTAGATTGCCGGGTTACGTGAACCGACAGTTAGCCCCTCAAATTCAAGATCCTCTTTTTCCGTGGCTTAGGTTGCCAGCCTGCAAACCCCAGGCCAATAGCTTCATGGGTACTACAACTCTACGTATGATTCTCATATGACTACGCCTGCTCTTGGGAGGTTTCTTCCAAGCATGGCCCAAACTGGCCCAAACTCCTGCCTCCCAAATAAACATGCAGCAGCCTGGAAGATCCATGCCCATTTGGAGGTTCACGGTACTCATAATCCAGCCCCTCTGAGTCTCCTAGTGTAGTTATAATTCGGCGACGATTCCCAGTTTTGCTTAGATTACCCTGAATCTCCAAGGCAGACCTTTGTCCCTTCAAACTGAAGGTTGTGTCCTTCGGGGATTTTCAAGATGCCTCGGAATGGGGGGGACATGTCAACGTTTTCCGGGGGGGCCCTCGCCGGGGGGTCCCCATTATAAGTTGTAAGCATCGAAGTCTTAGGGCTTTCAAAATGGGGACCCACCATTTTTGGATATGCCCGCGTATGTGATGTCAAGCCTTCAATCTTGGGGGCCTGCTCCCGAGTCTGAGGTCGAAAAGGCTCAATGAATTTAGGGTCTAGGGTATTTGGGCCAAAATGGTAATCAATGCAATTTGTGAAGTCTATCCGAGGCACCCGGTACAAGGAACCCAGGACCATAATATTGGTAATCATCATGAGTATGCCCCTACAGTACCGGAGTCTCCAATCAGTAAAAGCATAAATGCTTATACTGCTTGTATAGGGCTTATATGGGGATTATGTACGCTTCAGGAATATTTCCCCAATAATGGGGAATCAAATGGATATGAAAATGAGAATTCAATGGAAACTGGGAACATACAAAGGTTTATCGGCTTGAGACTCCCGATCTGCATGACCCCATATATAAATAATCTATACCTTGGGACTTATGGTGCTAAGGCACTCCAAGCTCTCAAACATCAACAGCAGGATCCCCAGGAGAACGTCATGATCTCACACCACAATGGCATCCGAATCCCCAAATACTAAACAGCTGCCTTGACACCAGCGCCACAAATTCCAATAGCTCCGAGACACTGTGATCCACATCCCAAAGCATGCCTCATCAGCATTTCAAATGGATGTTTCTCGAAATGGCCAAGAACCCGAGGGACAAATGCGATTGCAAAGTGATTGCAAGGGTCCCTACTACCAGTAATCTTTCTACAGGGGAAATTGTGAGAATCTTCCGTATCTATAATGAATAATGCCTGGAGTTTCTATGACCACTCTGTACACATCCCGTCCCATGGACTAAAAAAAACAAACATGTTTTCAAACAGAGCGGTTCGTGTACGCATTTCTCAGGTAAAGGCCCTCTAGATTCACCAAACTATGTAGCTGCTTCTTCTACTGCGTGCGGCAAGGGATCCACTGCTTTTCAAGTCTCTGATGCCTCAACCCAAAATTCCTGTCCCAACCCTGGAGGGACCCATGCTTCTGAGAGGCCTTGATACTCACAGTAATTTTCCAAACGCCGTACATACGTATGTATTCCCTGCACAGCACATCATAACACCCTACACATCCCCAAGCCCATACACTCCAAGCCTAATCTATGGGTATTTCTACAACTGGCTGGCAGCCTAATCTACGCTCAGCAGTAGAATCTTAGAATCCCTATCCTGGGAGCCCCAATTGTTGAAGGAATTCCTGTGCATGGTGAGCTGCAGGGAGTATTCATGGCTCCTCGGCCGATCATTACTCCCTCCAAATTCGGGGGCACAGCTGGGCAGGCGTCCGTCGAGCCGCTGAAGACATCCTGCCAGGAATTCGGGTCTTGGGTTCTGTGCTGATGGTCTCGGCTACGTCACTGTACCGGCTCATGCATATAATATGCGGAGAGCGATCGGGTGACCTTACCCTCACGTAGACTTCGCCAGCCCCAAAAATGCAAAGGAGGGAGCGAACCACACAAAGCCTTTGCGGCTTACACAACCCTTCCGAAGACAAGACTACATCTGATCGCTTTGTAGCGTCCATCAGTAGGTCTGAGGCAGCAATGACATTATGCGAAATACCTTCGGAGTTCCTATATCCGAATCTTGGTGCCGTACACATTCTGAACCGTACGACCCTGAACCTTGCACCATCCTCAGCATCTGACCAGCTTCAATCTCTGGATTGCCCAATTTACTGCACGCAATGCCACTCAAGCACCTATGACCCATCCCCAGTAGACGTGACTTTGGTTGGAAGGAGTTGAAGGATGTCATCCCAAAATCCTTACCTTGTATACTGTTGTAGGAAATATCCAACCCTAAGCCCTGGACCATGATCACTACTCACTACTCGTGAAACACCAGGCTGAACCCCTGATCCCCTACAGTGGACTTCGGCTCCTTCCTTAGCTACATAATTTTCAGCCGAGCAACTACGCCCGGCCAGCCCCAAGCAGAGGAATAGAGCTCTTCCGTTTCCTTTTTCGGCATCCCGAAAGAAGCTCTTTTTTGGTGGGGGATAACTTCATGCTTGGGGTTTAGGGACGTTTCTGGCTCTGGCCTTGCGAGTCAGGGTTCAGGCTTGAGAGTATCCTCAGGCCATCCGCAAGAACAAACCTCGCCATTTCCTGATGGGCCCGTGCATCCGTGGGTTCCTAAGGTATCCGTCTTTGAGAAACCAATTCAGAAACTGACACCATTACAGATACGCTGATATTTGTAGAAAGTTCCCTGGGAGTGGTAATGCAACGTGTTCACATGTTGAGAAAGATCAAGGCTGTACAGGCGTTCCATCAACTGTTTGCTTGGATGTACATGGGTCGAGCGTATTCGCGGTAGCCAGAGTAAGCCAGTTGCTTGCCAGGAAGTACATGAGTCGAGTATTCACTTTAGCCAGAGTAGTATATTGTTGATTTTGAGCCAGTGTACGGAATAGCAACGCGCACTCCGACGAGTCAGGACCCCCAACCGATAAGTACTGACGACAAGAGATAGCTTTACGACGGAGACTGTAAAACCAGGTCCTAGCGTGCATTTCTACCCAACAACCTAACAATGGGGAGGCACCAAACCCAATTCACGCCGGAGTCACTACTTAATGCTTACTTGGAGGTTCACGCAACGTAGTACCTACGTATACAGGGTGAATAACCTTACTTAAAAGCCCCCTAAAAGGCGTTTTAGGGGTTACCCCAAGTATAGGTAGGGTCCTAAACCCTAAGCCGGGTAGGGTTTCAAGTAGGTCAAACAACCCAAAGCCCAAGTCTCCCCGTCCAGGCGTTGATGTGGGAATCCCAGCAGGGCCTGGGTGGAGTGATCCTCCAACAGGGGCTCTTTAAGCGTTCTATTGGGATCTGCAGGCGCTATATAGCGATTGTACAAGGGTGACATCTCTGTAGAAAAGATAAGGTTTATCTGTCTACATGCAGTCTACAGTGATTGTAGGCGCATCACGGCAAAACGACTTGTGTCTCAACAAATCTGCCTAGCAATCGGAAAAGCAACCAGCTGCAAGGGTGACAGCGGAACAGCGGGTAGCTCTACACTTGCGCCATTCTACATGCCTTATTTGCTAGGGTTTATGGAAATACCCTTGGCTTCTTTTGTTGTGGGTTCCTATACTTCCCCCTACCCCCCCCTCCCAAATTGACCCTCAACAAGGCCCAGTTCGGGTGTTGTCAATGCTTATTTATGTCATTTGGGTGGAGGGAGGCAGTGGCGGGGTGTAGATAGGATCCCATGACGTAAGGTACCTTGCTAATCAGATGTCCAGGTGGCGTTGCCAGGTCAGGGCCCTTAAGCAGGGCTCGCTGCCCATATACATAGATATACGTATATTTAGGTATACGCATATATCTTGAGGGGGCGGGGGCAGAGGTTCTAAGCCTCCACTTCTTCTTGGAACACAGAAGCAGCACGGCTTGGAGGTTCTGAGGCGTTTTTACTCTAATCTGAAGACGAGACTGCAAGCACAACAGTCTACTACGGAAGTTTACGTTGCGCGGATCGACCGTTTCAGTTGGGCAAGGAAGGCATCCCTTTACATGAGCACACAAACAACTGCAGCGGAAAAACTCGAGCGTGGCCAATGTCTGCGATCCCGCCATTGATGCTGAACTTGAGGTCTGGAAACCTCCCAGTCGAAACACACTGCTTGGACTTGCCAGGGTGCGCGGGCTCACCCAAGGGTCTTTATTTGTCTGGTCCTGGCAGGATGTGTGGAATTCCTTCTGGAGTATGAGCACATAGATACGGCTGAGGATTCTCTGTGTGCATTTTGTGCTGCGACGTTCCGCTTTTGAAGCAAGCTTGCGGATGAAGCACCAAGTCAGAAACGCGACAGTAAGCCAAAAAAGATACTGCTTCAGGTGATCCAAAGTTTTGACAACCAATGCACAATCCTGAGCACTACGTGAACTTTGCAGGTCCTAAACGATTGGGGAAAATCAAATGTTTGCCACCATTGCACCACCTCACATACCCCATCACGTGGTGCAAACTTTCCTCCATTCCCTACAAAGACCCAACAAGACTACTGTCAATGCGCTGTGGGCAAAACCGGCAGGATTTTAATCTAAACCCTCAAGCTTAAACCCTAAAATCTAAACCCTCAAACCTTAAACCCTAAACCCCACATCCTAAACCCCAAATCCCAAGTCTTAGTCGGCAAGGTACTGGCTGCAGAGATCAAGGATCCGTGGATAATGGAGCGGTGGAATGGTCCGGTTTTGGGCAGGCGACAGCCCATTGAGCCAAGCCTGGCTCAAGTTAGGTTTAGGGTTTACCCGCGCTATGTCTGAGGAGCAGAAGGCACATGGGTTTGGGGTTTGACGTTTAGGGGCTTAGGGTAGCGGGTTTAGGGTTTAGGGACTTAGGGGTCTAGGGTTTGGGGTTTAGGGTTTATGCTTGGTGGGATTCTAGGGGTTCATATACGGTGGGGTTTAGGGCTTAGTACTCAACAGCTTGCACGACCTTAAGTCCATTAGACTTTGGAAGTTATGGTACTAGGACGTTTTAGTACCAGCAGTAGGGATATATGGGGGTTATAAAATGCGTAAATGAGGGTTGTATTTCATGGGGATCATATAGGTGGTTATATGCGCATACATGGCCATTAAATCCGGGGCCACAGAGGGGTTACATAGGGATAACGTAGGGGTTATAGAGGGAGGGTTTGGGATAGTGATCCCCAAGAATGGAAATATGGAAAATGCCATGGACACTTGACTTATACAGGGGTTTGTGTAAGGTTGGTACTTAAAATCCTGCATTAGCCTAGGTCCCCAATACTTTAGGAATGATGGCACCATGGTAGACCAAGGTCATGCAGGGTTTCTAGTATCAACCGTATGGGGCGAAAATAAGGATGTCTATGCATATAGGTTTATGGAGAGACAATGTTTAGGGGGTCCATCAAGTGTCTCATGGTTTGGGCTTTACGCTTTTGGGGTTCAGGCTTGGGGGCTATCCATTTTTAATTTTGCATCCACACCCTGGTGCAAAAAGCGCTCCGACCTTCCGAGCGTGGATGATGAAGTGCTTACAGCCACCCTGAGCGACAGTTCTCACAAAGTCCCGCGTAAACTCCGGCGAATCGAAATCGTCCGCTCCCAAACCTCAGATCTGTGGGAAGCGATGCGTCAATCTATCCGCACATGCAGCAATTACTCAGCACGATGGCGAAATCATTCCACAACAAGCATCCCAGCAATATCGCAAAAACACCCAAACAGCGCCCCCCATCTTGAAAGGCGAGGTGGAAATGAGGTGAGACAAGGCAAATTGGCTCGTAGCTGGGGACTGGGGCATTAGCAATAATGGTTTGTCATTTGGCGGTGCCTCAAGACACGGGTTCCCACAACCCACCTGGAATTCAGATCCCTACCAGGCAGCTTTGCAAGAGCCCTGCTCTTCAGGCAAGATAACAGCTTAGTTATAGCGACTTGCTGTTCAGGAACTTAAACTAAAAGTTGTCCATGTTAGGGTAACTTCACTTTAAGATCACTAGTCGTAACCCAATCAACAAACATCCTATGAGCAGAACTGATGCCGCCGGGTAGCGACACTTCACAGTCACTGGGATCTGTACTGCACGACTCATTGCATGGATTGCCTTGGATGAAAGCACAGCTGGTAGGCATCTTGTGAAACTCTAGTGTCATCTAGGATAGTAATACATATATAAGGGACTTTAGAATACTGTCTGGCTACAAGTGTGACAGCACTTCTCCAGCTTGCGTAGGGATGCGGAAAATGCCTTCTGGAATAGCTGAAAGCAGTGCATCTGTCTCATGAATCACGGTACTGGTGAATATCCAGCCAAGGCGCATCACGAACTAGCTCCTTCTTCTTCATCAATGAGCAGCCGAATTCACCTCTCTACACCAAAGATGCAAGCCCATCGTTGAACCTTGATGGGTAGGCATGAATAGGGAATTATTACAAGCCCAATCCATGCAAAGGATCAGATGGTTCCTGCCGGAGATATCCATATACTTGTAAAGTCCCTGTAAGTAAAAGACTTGATTGTGAGATGGGCAAGGCAAGCTCTTCATCCTGGTCAGTGTAATTTATGAGCCTTTGGAGCAGACTCCTCTGCAACTCACAGCAAGCTCATTCAGGGTTTAGGAGACTGTATGTTCTGTATGATATGCATTTGTAGAAAAAGCTGTCCGGAGGGATCTGCATTGATGGTGGTAGGTCCTATATGGCCAGGGAGCTTAGTTGAATGAAAAGATGGTCTCCATGAAGGCTAACATGCTCTATGACATCATCTCATGGAAACCCCCTGATTTGGCCAGCCCTGGACTTTTCGATGTTTGGCCTTCAATAAGAAATCTGATTATGGGTCTTGTGTACCCTTTGATGTCCCATTTCTACGCAGGCTCATAAGAAATTCCTAGGCCCTTGATGCGGGAATCAGATTTCTAACCAAAAGCCTAGGCCGTATGCCCTACACCCAAAGCATCCTGCCTTTGCCCGCAACTCTGCTGGAAGGGCATCCGCAGTTCAGGTTGACTTCATCGTAGCCGTACCTTGCGCATCATGTTATATGCCCAAGAACAATATGCTTGAACGTGTTGCGCTTCCTCCGCGCCGAGACACTGCTTAGTGGTTTCGGTTTGGGGTTTGCTCCCGCACGGGAGGGGCAACTAGTACATGGCCGACATGATTACCAATATTGAAATTGTTTTGAAGTCTATTTGAAGTGTCCTGTACCAACGCTAAACGAGGAATCTAGGACGAGGATCTTGGCAATATTTAAGGCTTGTAAGGGATCACACGGCTAGACACCTGAATGATTCGATGAAGGTCGGGGATGGGGTCACACTTTGCTACCACTACAGAATAAAAACTATGAGACTGCATTATAGCTGTTGTCATCCAAGAGGCCTCTGCACGATCTCAGCTGCTTGTGCAAGCTTGCTGGGGTCGCTCCCTCCTGACTCTGATCTCTATGATCCCTATATCACTCATATGTTCCCCAGAAAGTCCCCTATACCTATCCTGTCATGCGAGAGTCCTTGTCCCTGCTAATTGGTTTAGGGGTAAAGCCCTAAGGCTGAATCTTGGACCCGGTTTATGGAGAAGGCCCTCCATAATCTGTTTTGGGGACCCATATATTCAGGATCAGGGGTAATGATGGGAGGCGCTTCAGAATGTTCTCTTATTTTGGAAAGCATTAGGAGGATTTTCAATCTCTTTTGAATTTTAAAAGGCAGGCCTTTTGAACTCCTGTTCCGACCCAGCCCCCAGTGCTTTGACTTGAACTCATCCTAAACCTGAAGCTGGCTAGCTTCACTAACAAATCCGTGTCAAAACCTTATGACTCATAGACCGAATCATTTGGGCAACGGGGGTAGTCCAGCAGAATAAGGCTCATTTTATCTCGTCAGCCTGGGACCCCTGCAAATTTTGGGGCCCGAAGCCTCCAATTTGAAAAGGCCAGTCTTTTAAATCCTTTTCAGAACTAGCCGGCCGAGCTTTAGATTTAGAAGCCGGAAACCTAAACCTGAAGCCCACCAGCTTCATAACGAATCCTCATGTAAAAGCCTTCTGATTCATAGCCCGAATCATGTGTTTGGAGACCCCGAGCCTTTGATTTTTGACGGGCAAGCCTTTTAAAATCCTTCTCAGAATAACAGCAGAACCCAAATCATCCCGTTGAAACCAATCCCCAGGACCCTCAAGACCGTCATTTTCTGCTCTTCTGGAGGTCCCTGTTTGAGGGGGGGAGGGGGACCCCTGTCAAATATTAGGGCTCGAGGTTGAATTAGGTGGCAATGCCTAAAACATGACCAGGAGACCGAAAGTCCTACCGTAGGCCCCAAAGACTTGCAGCTTTAGGACCAAATAACCAGAATCCTTGTATGAAACCCTCGGCACTTAAGGCTTTGGTGTCTAAGGTAGGCACATAGAAGCTGTGCTAGGAATTCTCAACATTGCCACAGCAAAGTCTGGCAGGTTCAAGCTACTTGCGCTACACATAGAACCCCCAATATAGCACTGCTGTATAGGGTTGAGGGTTTAGGGTCATCTGCGGAGTACAGTAGTCATTATTAGGGGGTGTGGGGGAGTAGCTTAAGGCTTGCACAATTGCATGTGAGATGTGCTCCCTTTGCAAAATCTGAGGCGCCCTCAAGCTACTGTTGATACCAAAAACCCTGCGTGACCTTGGGTACACATGCCTGAGGAATAATGGTGTTGCAGCATACTCAACCGTTGATCAGCAGTAGTGGATCTCTTAGGGATCTTAAGATACCTTATGTATAGGGAGTGTAGCTGAATGAATTAAGCCCTGTTCAGACATTGTTCAAGGGTTCAGGGCCCAGGATGATTAGGAGTCAAGTTCAGGAAGCTCCCCAAAGATCCACGCATACCGATGGATCCAAAGTTGCAGTCAGGAGTCGAGGGCCTGCGGTAACGTCTGCTGTGCATGAGTTGAACTCTTACATAAGGTTTCAGGATTTAGGGATCCAAAAGTCCAACCTTGAAATCCTGACAGGATCAGTTTTTTGGCATCATTGAAGGTGTCTGCAGCTGAGGCCTAGATGATGGAGGAATGCCCGAAATCCTTCGCGTGGGACTACATAGCTAGAGGTTCATGCTTTAGGCTTGCTACGTAATTTATTCCACTCCCCGCACAAGCATGCAGCATCACAAGCAACTAATGTCTCCTTTAAGTGGCGAAACGGGCATGGTGCAACATCTCGTGTCCGTTTCAAGGTTTGTGATTAGGATCTTCTAATGCAAGCATAGACAAGTACACGCATACAGGGGTAATTCCGCTGGGCATATTTAGTATTTGGGTGGTGGCGGCGGCGGCGGCGGCGGCGGCGGTGGTGGTGGTGGTGGTAAATCCTACAGTAACACTCAAACTCTAAACCCTAAGCAGCAAGAGAGAAAGCCTAATTAGTCCCAAGCCGTCCTAGCTGGCAGACGATGGGATGCTCGGCCTCACATTGCAAGATGCAGATGGAGGTGGCGTAGGACTATAAATGAAGGTTCATGGGATTTAGTAGCTACTTATAACTTGGGAGAGTATAAATTCAACTTTTTAGTTGGGGTAAGCCCTTTGAAGGCTATTTAGGGGGGTTGAAGTAGGGTTAAAGCCCATGTATGAGCGCTTACTACGTCGCATAAACCTCCAAGCGGCGGGCATACATGCCTGTACAGAAACCCTGGGGGAACAATGTGGGGATAAGCGGTTATGGAAATGTTGAAGGTTTAAGCCGAGGCTTTTGAGGCATTTTGACAAGCCCGGGTACTGCCAGTTGGCTTGGTAGTCCAAGAAAAGCGTTGAACATCATGCCATGAACTATGGTGGTGAATGCATTAAACCCACAACTTGTCTGCGTACTGTCGTGCGCAGTGCCTGGCAAGACTACTGCCGACACGAGGCTAAAGCAGCAGCCTACGTATCTCTGAACGCACTGCCGCTGTACCCTAAGCCATAGACCCTGAAACAAAGGCCTATTGTATCCTTGCATTTTAGCTGAATCACCTTCCCCCCCCCCCGCCCCCGGCGGCTTATATCACATGATCTCAAAAAATTACAGTATACCGCAATGGGAATACACAGTTTTCGAGAAGTTGGTTTTCCTTTTAGGGGGAGGAGACTGTAAAGCGGTAGGGGAGACAAATCCTGAAACCCATAACTACTTACTGTTCATGCATGGGCTTGGTTTACCAGAATACCACAAGTCCCAAGGTATGGGGTGCTGTTTTGAGTATCAGCCATAGGGCCTCGTTGTATCTCAGGAAGCGATCGCATTTCTCCGTCTCCGTGTTGTGAAGGATGGTATCGTCCACGACCATTTCGGTCCAGAGTTGGGCCTTCAGCGCTCAAGACCAGGTCGTTTTCTTTTCAGGACCAAGTACTTGAAGGGTCAGCCAGACTTAGTAAGTAGGTTAATAAGGGGGATAACTGGGGTTTTCTCATGGCTTACAAGGGCTTCAAACCAGACGTTCTAAGTGCTCGTGATCTTCCCCGTAGGACGGGAGGTCCCCACATGGGAGCTTCTGCAAAGGGTATACAGCGCCTGTACGAGGGTTTAGCTTTTACAGTTAGCTTCGGGCCTAGGATTGCGCAAGACTGTCTGCATGTTCTTTCAAACAAGAATGCAAGCTCCAGTTCTGACTGAGAGGACTGTAGACATGACCTGGCTTTGTTGAAAGCTTCGATCCTGGAGCTTTCTGCAACCTAGTCACGCTCAATTTGATTCCTATAGACATGGACAGGGTAACAAATCAAACTGCTGCGAAATACTCAGCTCTCTTGCCGAATGCCGGGTGCCGAATTTGACCTGCAGTCGCCAAAGATGATAAAGAATACGAGTAGTCCCATTATGGCTATCATTACGATAGCCATTCAAACTCCTCTTCCGGCAACTTCCGAACCATTCATTCCCCGGTAACTCCGAGGAACCTTGCGTGACAGCAACCGCATGAAGTAGCGGAAGTCCCTGTAGGTGACTTCCATCATCGGCGCGATTTGTAGCAAATGCCTGCACATCAGGTTCATGTTCCGCATGTAGGAACAACAACTGATGTGTCAGGGTTATAAACAGATTAGGATACGCAAAACGCCCTTCGCAGTCAGAAATGGCGGTTTACCGAAGTCAGGGTGTCCCGACAGACTCTATGTTCTAGCAAAATCAAGGAGAATGAATGCGCCCTCATGGGTTGTAGATGAGGAACATTCTGAGAAACTGGAGGTAGTTTGATGTTCGCAGCTGTGCACAGACATTGGTTTCCGAAACTCGGCTTGGTCCCTTTTGCTGCGTCCTGGTGTACGCAGGAATCTCCCGATAATCCCACCATCTGTGGAATTGTTGACCGGGAACAGAAGGGGAGCCCCTTACTGACCAATGCCTACATGACCTATAATCACTTCTAAACTCCTTCAAGGGTTTTTTTGGTGAATTATATAGGGGAATACTATGAGGGTTAGTAGGGGGGATACTAGCGGGGATACTAGGAGCATCACATAACTCATATGCAATGTCAATTTGCTTGAATAATGCCATGGCTACCAGGGCTTCGGCTTTGGCGAGCGTGTAGCATTAGTAAGCCACAAAGGCCGTGGTGTAGTTCCGCTTTGGGCAGTAGTTCTAGTGTGAGCCCGTCTGAAAACATAACAAGCACAGAATCATGGACAAGAGACGGGATAATGTGAGAGTTTCCCCCAGATGATCCCTGTTGACTTATATAATCTTCAAGGGAGACCTCCATACACTCCTGGTGGTCCGCAAATATCCCGATCGTCCCCGTGAACATGAGAAAAACGTATGTCATGGCTAATTAATGACTACGGCGAATTCCAGGCTCTAAATACCACATCATCAGTCAAATGCAAGTGCATCTGGTTTGATTAAGGTGCACATGGCGCTATGCTTTACATGCATCTAGTAGGGCCTCCATATAACAACATTTTAGGGACCCCCTTCCCCCTGATGCATGCAACCCTGGTATCCATGTTTTAGCTGCATGTTGGCTTGGTGGAGTTGTAAGCCCGTGAACCTTTTGGCAGCAGGCTTGCACGTACGTGCCTGGGTTGACGCCCACGACCCCAAACTTGGAACCGACTCGTTAAAGCCAACTGAGTCGTGGCATTTAGCGGCTTTGGTGGTTGAATTACGTATCAGCATATTCTCTTTCTGAAGTAATCACTGTAACCGAGAGGGACAGAAATCTTACTCCGGATTCTCGACCTGTAATGGCCCAAGTTGAAAGAATATCTATTTGTCACAGACCCAGCCTTCCCTCGTGCCCGCGCTCCATACCCGCCATGTTCGCCAAGAGGTGTGGGGCGTCTTACAAGTCGAAATGGAAGTTTCCAATAACGAGGGGTCCCCAAAATGATTATGATAAATGGGGGCTCTAGTACTTGAAGCATTTTGGGACACATATTATAATCTCGGGGGGCAACCCTCATTTTTGGAAACACCCAAATGTACAGACGAACTGCGCCGTTGCAAGCTTGCGCGACTCCCCTGGTTTGCGTTTCCACAAGTTCTGTCCGAAATGCATAGTCATGTAATCTTGTGTCATCTTGTGACCTGTGATACTGAGCTGCACTGAGCAGCCGAACTTGCTGCACACACGCGCGACCGAAGGTCAAGCAAACAACTGTATCCTCCCCTTCCCGTAAGTCTCCAGGTACCCACGCTTCATAAACTTCCCCCAAAACCGGTAATTATTACCATTACTTCGAACTACCCAAGCCACAAGTACTCGATTATTACTACTTGGACCTCTAGGGTCTCTTCCAGTCTGTGGCAGAGTTTAGAAGCATTTCCAGGGGCCTTGGAGTGCGTATAAAATTCAGGAACTGCTTCTGACTCACCTTTTCCTAATACAGTGCCCCTCTGAAATATGGTATGCCATGATGGGACGGGGTGGTTGTTTTTTCCAAATTAAGGGGGAGGGGCTTGTGAACGGGTCCAAGCGGATTGCGCCGTCTCTCTCTCTATCTCTCTACCTCTCCCTCTCCACCCTGAACCATGGGTGCGTCATGGGAAAACACCTCGCGCAATTTATAGAATACTATATGCAGATTCGGTAATTTCCAGAAATAGAGGAACCCCTATATAGAGAAACTGAAATACCAAATCCTGAATATGGAGACCCCCTAGTAGGGAACCGCAATTTTCGGAAACCCGTTGTTCTGCAAGACTGGCATGGTAGTCCTGGGTCCTTTAACTTACGGGTGTTGGAATTCTGTCCACCAGTTGGGCCGTCAGCTTCAATCAGGCAACTTCCTTCAGAACTTCGGAAGCAATGGAGGCTCCCTTATGCTTGAGAACAAACATCCTGCATGATCTCTGTGTACTACAACTGTACGAACCCCCTTCGTAGGAGGTTATGAGGGTCATGCAAGATGCTCAGCATTAACCGTATGACCTGCTCAAGCAGAATATTCTGATCTTTGGAAACCCCATTTTGGGGATATTCATTAGAAGGATCCATAACCAATTGCTCCCAAGACCTCCCTGAAGATCGTTACGGGGGGCCTTCTTAGGCCTGCCTTAGACTCTTCCAGAATTCAGCCAGTCCAGCTAGAAAAGAAACGGGTTGCTAAAACAACTTCAGGCAGCCAGATGCTCACTCAAGGACTCAAAGTGCGCATCCTTAATCCCTAGACCAACATCATTGAGCTCTACCAGGTGGGGCTATTTCAAACACTACCGTGATTCATAAGGCTACATACACAAGCCCAGCGGGTTCTAACTAAATGATAACTTGAGTTTTTGCCTACCTCTACAGTAAAACCAAAACCCTACCAACCGACCCCTTTGAGTCATGGGACCCCGCCCATATGCACCACACCACACAAATGAGACCGAATCCGCCACCAATAAAGTAAATGGGGGACAATTTGAGTCGGGGTGGTGAATCCCCTTTTCATATTTTGCCCCGCGTAGAGAAGCCTTATACCGTCAGAAGATTAGAGATATCAACGTCTTTGTACAACGTCGTCTGAGAAGTAAGGTATCCAAAATTGGGGTCCTTTTGGCAGTGCTTCATTTCAGGGGTGTAATGTATTGGAGGAGTCGATATTGCGTATTTATGGAAACGTATATCTTACAACCGTCAACCCTCAACAAACAAATTAGATCCCGAGCCTGAACCCCAACCCAAGTGCGGAGCAAGCTGAAGCAGGTCCAAGGCGAGTCCAGCAGGAGCAGCCCCTGCAATTGGAACATTCTGCAACCTCTAAAAGGCCACGTGGGGAGCTTATAAATAGGGTGCCCCGTGCTACAGAACCATGAGCCTTCAAGTTCTGTTGGGAGGCCCTTGTAGGGTAGTAGCACCCAGGTGCAGGGAATATGTACTTCAGGCCATGCGGGAGGCCGTCAAAATAGTGGTCCCTTTTTGGGGTACCTTAACTACCCGAGGCCATACTATAATAATGGGGACCCAAACGTGACCACATTTTTCGACATCCCGCCATATAATGCCTCGAGGTAAGGGAACTTCTTTCCTTCTTTTTTGACTCCGCCATGCCCACTCTGCCAACACCTACTCAAGCTTAGTTGGGAATGTTGGGAGACTGTTTACAACTACTGTTGCTATCACTACTCTGCCTATTACTTTTACTAATGTTATTACTATTGTTTGATGATTTGCTGGGATCCTTTCCTCAACGCGCGAGTAAGACCAAGTCGTCCAGCCTGCCGCTTGCGAAGCGCAGGCGCCATCCGATGGGGCCTCGGAGTCTAGGACAACTACAATGCGTAATAATTGCACCCATATACTATGTGTATATGTATATATGTATATATATGTATACATAGCCCACACCACCCCCCTCAAAAAGACCTGATGCACCAAAAACTCGCTATTACTCATAGGACTCCATAGCCATGCCGCTTCAGCTTGGGTGCTGCTTCAGGTTTGGGTTCTGCTTGAGTTGTGCCGAAGCAGCATGCAAAGGGAAGTGGAACGGTGGCTGAAGCAGCACGCAATGGTTTTTGGTGGGGGTACAATCAACTTTTGCTGAAGAAGGCAAGTTAAAGCTGAACAGCAAAATCACTTGCATAAGTGCATGCTGCTTCAGCTCGGGTTTTGCTTCATTTTTGGGTGCTGCTTGTGCGCATGTGAAGCAGCACGCAACAGTGAAGTGGAACGGTTCCCCAGGCAGCACGGATAGGCCTATGAATTACATAACCCCCTTCTCTCCCTATGGAGGTCGTAGGCCTCTCCTACCTTGGGATCGTGAGGAACCCAACCGCCCTTCTGCTGAATACCCGCAATATACAATGGGCTATATTGGGCGGGTGGGGTTATTAGGGAGGTGGATGGGTTTGTTACTAGGGGACAGGATCCGGTTGACTTGACAGAGATACGGGCGAGGACTGGAGAAGCAGGTTTGTAAGAATCGCGTTTAGGGTAGGGTAGGTCTCGGGGCCCCAGCATTTTTGTTTACGGCGTTAGAGGGATTCTGTAGGGTCTGAAGGCAATATATAACCATTTGAAGGATTAGAGTTTAGGGTTTGTGGTGGTATAGATAGGTAATTGACAGGCTATTTTTTACTGAGGCCCAACAGCTAACTGCAGCTTCGGTATTGAAAGGTATACGACTGTGGAATGCTGACAAAAGAATTCTGGAACTCATCATCATGATCATTCTGGTGTCCAAATTCCCGCCAAAAAGCCCTAAACCCTAAACTCTAAACCCTAAACCGATACCCTTCTGAATAAGCCAGGATTTGTGATTTGGAGTGGTTGTCCTGCGGGCTGCTTGGACCTCCCCCCTGCGCTGTATCGTGGAAGCCTAAATGAGCTATAGTCTAAACTCCTTAGAGGGGTTATATAGGGGCTTATA